CTAGCTGATTCCCTTGTTGCGGATCTTGCCATACTAGAGCACGAATCCTAAGAGTTAGGGGAACGAAAGACTAGAGGTGTTTCCTCTTTTGTTGTTACTCAGTTGGAATCTGAGTTGAAGTAGTGGCATGAATCCAGAGTATCTATTGGATATGATCTTTAGTCACAGGAGAGCTCTGTTATGCGGATGAGGGCTAATCTCTTGAGGAAGGACAAGACTAAGGCTGATTTACTTAGCTCTTTAGCTTCAGCCGACGAGGAGATAGCTAAACTTAAGAAGACCTTGAAGTACACCGAAGAATCTCGCGCTATTCTTGAGGATGACTTAGCCAATGCTGAAGATTCTCGAAGACAGACATTGGAGAAGTTGGAGCCTGCAGAAGAGAAGTTGGCTAAGTTGACGAGCGCAGCCACGAAGACACTGAATACATCTGAAGATTCCATTCGAGCTGAGTTGCAGGCTAAACTCGAGCGGAGTTTTGCTGAAGATCTTTCTATGCTGGAACATCGGATCCTCAGTTGCAGATTGCACTCGGAGCGATAGTTTCTTCATTTTGACTTTATTAATAAAAAAAATCTTTTATTTAGCTCACTCTTCTCTTTATTATGATCATTATCCAATCTAGGATGAATAACCATAATACTTATAGGTTTTTTGGCAAACCCTCAACCATTAACGGATTTGGCTTGCCTTTACCGATTATCGTTTGAATCGGGCTAGCATACAGATTGTTCAAATCCATTCTGTATGTGACGTTGTGCTAAAAGATTGAATTCTTTTAGACTTAGCGCTATGATTTTTTTGAATACATAGACTTACTCACCCCTTGCGGAGTTCTCATAGGATTTTTGACAAACCCTCAGCCATCAACGGATTTGATGTATCTTTACCGATTACCGTTTGAATCGGGCTAGCATGTAAATTATTAAAACCCGTTTCACATGTGACGTTGTGCTAAGAGAGCTAATTCTCTTAAACTTGGTGCTATGATTTTAAATACATAGACTTTGTCTTTGTCACAGGAATAGACTACACGGCGACGCGTGTTAGGTGTTGACTCATCCGTACTTAGGATTTAGGATAAAATTCCCCAGATTTATATTCTGGTGTCTTTTCATTCGGTAAAAGACTAAACTGGTGCCATGTATTAGACGTAGACTTAGGATTTTTGGAAAATCCTCAGCTATCAATGGATTTGACGTGCCTTTACCGACTAGCGTTTGAATCGGGCTAGCATGTGAATTATTAAAACCCGTTTCACATGTGACATTGTGCTAAGAGAGTTAATTCTCTTACTTGGTGCTATGATTTTGAATACATAGACTTTGTCTTTGTCATGGGAATAGACTACTCGGCAACGTGTGTTAGACGTATGCTTATCTCTAATTAGGGATCGAGATAAAATCTCCCGTGCTTGAAGTACATGGATTTGAAATTAAGAATTGTGTCTTTTCTTAGGATAAAGACAAGCCGATGCTGGAGAGGAAGAATTTTATATCCTGTCTCCAGGTCTTGTTTATGGTAAAGACGGACCCTAAACGGGAGAGGAAAAATTTTATATTCTATCTCCTAAAACTTAAGAGGAAGAATTTTATATTCTATCTCCAGTTGCAAAGGAAACTCGAGGTGAGATCTCCACCCCCTGAATCCGAAAAGGTGAAACTATGAGTGGGATCTCCACTCCGAGAATCAAAAAGATTCAAGCAATCCTAACTTTTATAGGATTGGTTGCTTAATCCAAAAAAAATCCCTCATTTATTGAGGTGAAATTCCAATTTCGGCCCTTACTTTTATAGGTTTGGCTGAAATCAAAAAGGTAGAAGTCTCTCGTTTATCGAAAGAGGTAATCCAATCTTGGTCCTAACTACTGAAGGTTTGACCAAGTGGGGTTGGCGGTAATCCTAACTTTTATAGGTTTGATCGCTCAAATTGAAAGTGGATCTCTCGTTCATGGAAGGAATCGAGAGGGGATTTTGGCTTTGGTCCTAACTTTTATAGGTTTGACCAAGAACAGTAGGAGTGTAATACAGATAGCAGTGAGAATGCTAATTTGTACTAGCCACTTGATGGAAGATTTTGATGTTAAGTGATCAGGACTTAATATGTCTAGTTTGAAAATTACCGAAATTAGTGGATACAAATTCTTAGTGGACCCACCGTCGATTGATTTGATTAGTGGGGGATTTTATGATGGAAGATTATGAGTTATCAAACACCAGTGGGGGTCTTGTGAGGAAAGATTGACTCATCAAAGTGATTGAATCTCGTCTCAGCAAAAGTATTCATGAGGGTTGGTGAATTCAATATCAACAATAAGATACGTTCCAACTTTGAAAACATTCAAAGTCCAAGTGTGGATTTCTTATTTATCATTTTTTATGGTAACTGGGTTATCTCTAAGAATACTACATGTAGTATCCTTCCGGGAACTTCCTAATACATGGGTTATCTTGAATATACTAAGTGTAGTACTTTTTTAAGAACTTCCCATTTATCGGCATCATAAGTCGAGCGCCTTCTTTGGTAATAAGGCGATATGCGCCATTCGAATAGACTATCTCTACCACAAATGGTCCTTCTCATTTGGGTTCAAACTTGCTTTTCTTCTTGGAATTGAGGATCATTGGTCGTCGGACAGCTAAGACCAAGTTCCCTTCTCTAAAACTCCGTTGTCGAACCTTTTTGTCAAAAGCTCGAGAAATTTTGGATTGATAGAATTCAATGTGTTGTTGGTCTTCCAAGAGCTTTTCATCAAGCATCTCGAGTTCTTTGAGACATTTCTGATGTTGTTCTTCGGTCGTCATCTCCGTTGCAAAGAGCGATCCGAAGAGATAGAATTTGGATCTCTAATGGAAGAACTGCTTCACACCCATACACTAGAGACTACGGGGTTGCTCCAGTAGGCGTACGAACTGTGGTGCGATAGGCCCATAGAGCTTCGCCGAGTTTATCGTCCCAACCTCGTTTATTAGTCTTTACGAGTTTCGATAAAAGTTTTATGATAGTCTTGTTAAATGCTTCAGCCAACCCGTTTGTTGTGGGATTGTAAGTTATCGGTAATTGCTAGGATGAATCAGTTGTCTTTGACCGACGGGGGAAAAATAGGACCTACGACGTCCATTCCCCAGGTCTCAAAAGGCCATGATGTAGCCGAAGGGTGTAGATGCTTCGGAGGTTGGTGCATATAATTCGCGTGCACTTGACACACGTGACACTTTCGAGCATATGCGACTGCGTCTTTCATCATAATGGGCCAGGAATATCCCATCCTTCTAATGCTGTCATAAAGTTTGGGGTCGGGTTGGTGTGCACCACAAACTCCTTCGTGCGTCTCCCTGAGGACTTCTTTCGCCTCTTTAGTGGATAGGCAACGTAATAGTAAACCATCGTACCCCCGGTAATATAGCGTTCGACTCTCTGTGTTATAGTAGAATCTCGGTGCTCTCTGTCAGATTGAGTCCCTTTACTTCACGTCTTCTGGAAAAATTCCATGTAAGACATAATCGATGATAGGAAAACGCTAATCTCGGGACTCAAACTCAACTTGGGTTGAATGCACTTCTTTAATATCATCTTCTCTGTCGTCTACATCGTAGATTGGTACGAAGAGCTAGTGAGTTCTTACTGTAACGAACTGTTCCATTTCGGGAGGCTATGCCAGAGATACTGCTAATGCTGCTAGTGCATCTGCGTAAGTGTTCTGTATACGTGGAATGTACTTAATAAAGAATCCTTCGAACGATTCTGCCATCTCGATGGCCACCTTGTGGTATGGTATCAAATCTTGATTTCTGACCTCATACTCTCCTTGAATTTGTTTCACTACCAGTTGAGAATCACCGAAAGCTTTGAGATACTCGACCCCCAGCTCTTTAGCAAAGCTGAGTCTAATAAGCAGCATATTATACTCGGCTACGTTGTTTGAACATGGCTCGGTCTGTGAGTAGGCCCGAGGCATCACATGTTTTCCCGAGGAAACTAAGACAACTCCAACTCCGGAGGAAATCTTAGAACATCCAAGAGCACATGCCACATTAGTTGCTCGAAAAGTATTGTTGAAGTACAAAGGCCACACCTATTGATGAGAAGTCACGTTAGCTTCGTGGGTTTCATATGGCAGATCGTCGTATACTTTGGCAGTATCCGTAGTTGGGTTAGCTGTCAGAAGATCATAAATAGCTTGTCCTTTGACCGATTTCTATTGTTTAAAGTGCAGATCGTACTGGGACAGAAGCAAGGACTATTTTGCTAACTGCCAATTCATAAAAGCTAGCTATGTCATGAAAACTCGGACTGGGTTAACGTTGAAAATGACATAAATAGTCTGTCCAACCAAGTAATGCCGCATATTTTGAATTGCGAACACCAAAGCGAGATACTCCCTCTAAATCATTGGATACCGGGATTCGGTGCCCACAAGGGTCCGAGCCTTTTTGGACACCCCTAGGAATGACATAACTGATCTTTTATTTAGTGATTATATTGAAAGTTTATACTATTTTCATATTAACTGTGTGATTAACAAAAACATCAGGGTGGTAGGAAAGAAATCGACGAAATAATTATAATATTATGAAATAGAAAGTATCCGAATTAATTTTTTTTCGTTTCATATATTATTGCTTATTTGTGCTCATACAGTAAAATCCTTGCTAGGAAGTAACCAACAAATGAAATGTTATTAAAGTTATTTTTTTCCTAAATTCATGCGCATTTTACCTATTTCCCGGTTACATCTAAACCCTGATGGGCAAATAAAAATTTAGCAAAAACGGATGACTCGTAAGTGTCGCGTTAGCATTTCAAGAAAGCATATGAGTAGGTTTTGCAGAAAAACAAACTAGTTTGCATTGCCGATAATTTAGACTCTAAATGTGGACTGATGCGGTTATATGAGGAGGGTTACCTGCAAACACCGAAACTAATTGGGGATTTCCTGCGGTTCCAATAGTTATCGGAGGTTTAGTGCAATTTTAGAAATTATCGGGAGTTTACTGCTAAATGGTAAAAGTTCTTCGCGGATCACCCGGCTGCCAACAACCCGCAGAATTCCGGTCACAAAAAAAAAAAAATCTTGGTCGCCAATGGCTGTATCCGGTGCTTACTGCACAATCTCCTCGTGCCCCCGACGTCTTCTCCCCATTCCTCGGTGCGGGCCCTCCTCCTCTTCAAAACCCACACTCAAGCTCCAAAGCTTGGCCTCCTCAACTCTTCTAGCCTTTGGCGCCGGCGCCGCCCTTGCCATGTCAGCATTTCTCTCCCCCGGGGAGGCCCTCGCTGCACTCGAGGAGCCAACCAACGCGCTTTCTCTGCCCACCTGGGCTATACACGTGTCCAGCGTCGTCGAATGGTACTGGGTTTTCTCTTTCAATTTCACCTTCTTAATGAATGTGACCAATGCTCGTCAACTGTTTGATGAATTGTCTGTTTGGGTCTTGGACGAATGTTGAAGGGTCACGGCTATGGTTCTTGTTTGGGAGTACGGGGAGAAGTCGGGGTTCGAAGCGTGGAAGGGTCTCTCATGGGGAATGGTGAGCAAGGATTTGTGTCTTTCTATTTAAAGTTGGATATTTTAGTTTAAAGTTGTATATTTCCCAGAAGGAAAATTAGTTTGTATGCACTTCAGTTTCTTGGGTGTTGCTTATGCTCCCTGATTGCTTCCGCAATTCGCCAAGTTGTAACTTTGGTGCATATGGTGTGAATATCACGCTTTTAAAGGAGACACATTTTACGCCTAAGAGAACTTCTTGGAAGAAGTTAAGAAGGATATGATAATAGTTACCTTAACAGAGGATATAAATAGATAGAACTGAATGGAAGAATGGGATTTCATGTGGATGACTAGAAAATTTGGGATTAAAGCTTTTCTGTTGTTGATTGGTAAGAATGGGGTTAGAATTATTTCGCAGTAGAAAAGCTATTAGATTCAAGTTAATGAGGGATAGCAACTTGCGTGGTTATCCAAATAAAAATGGCAGTTGACACTTAAACGACATCTATATGACCAGTATTATTCTTGTGGGAATAGTGGAGATCAAAATGTGAGTATTCTTGCTTTGGTGATGTTCATTTGAGAAATTGATAAACAAACAAGAAGTTTGATTGAAAGTGTCATGAGGAGAAAGGTTAGTATTGTTATAACAAAGGGGGAAAATGATCACAAGAATAGGTGCTAGATAAAATCCTAGTAAATCCTGGAATGCGCATTTGGTTAGATTCATTTTCTTATATTACAAACTTCTAAGATGTCCTTTTGCTCTGGTTTTTTACCTATATTCAGTTGTAACTTGTGGTAACTTGTAACTGCAGTTTTTTAATTTTAGAGGAACACATTGGTAGATATTTAGGGCATGTGCTTCTTACTTTTAGCAACAATCTCTGATACTTGTATACATGTAGCAGACAAGATTTAACTTGTGAACTTGGATAGTAAAGAAATAACAAAGAGTACAAGATGAGTGACAGGTGAAGAAGGAAGAAACCTAGCAGTGTCATCAGAGTCAAGTAATTATAAGAATCAAATTCCAAGAAAAAAAATATTTGAATTACTTGAGTGCATCTATTTATAAAAAAAATGGGCTTTTTGTGGGGAGATTAATGAAGAAACCTCATCATTTTAAGTACCTAACTAGCTTAAAGATCATGTTGGAGGAAAGGCGCAGGCAGAAGTTGCTTGTCTCTCACTTTAATCAAACATGAGTATACTAATCTGGGAAACATCTATTGTCCAGATTCATATAAATGGAATAGTGGAAAAAAGTTGGACATGTAGAGGTAGTTGCTTAAAATACATTTATTTATGGTTTTTATGATACTACTTCTACATTGCGAAGAAAGTTCAGCTTCTTTCATATTCTAGTTTTATTTATGAGATTTAGTATTTTTTTTAGTTTCCTGCATGTTATCCAGTCCTTATTTGCTGTAACTGTACCAGATGATATCTTAAATGGACTATAATATAGAAGGAACAATTGATATACAATCTCCTGGAAAGGGAGACCTTTTAAGTGTATCAGGGTTATTATTTTAATACTTTATTCTATTGTTGATATTGGGTTCTTTTGCATCTCATGCAATTTAGGTTCCACTTCTTGGGGGAGCATTGTGTGCATGCACCTGGCATTTCTTTTATAACTCGGAGTCTCTTGAGGTAAGAACATTAGCGACTTGCATAATAACCTGTTAAACTTCTTACACAGATAAATGATTTGCTGGTTTAAGTTTCTGTCCAAGAGTTTTATGCTCCTGGTTTAAGATCATGTTCAATTATCACCATACTCATGTGCACTATAAGAGAAATGCCTGCAAATACTTCACCCTCTTCCATAACTTAACCTGTGTCCTTTAACAGAATAGTAGTAGGAGGCCACTGGACAAAAGTCTGAGTCAAGGAGGGACTATAGTGGATTAACCAAATCAAATAACTTGAACGACTACCCAAAAATAGACCTCATCAATCTGTATTACTTTCCTAGATAAGGCAAGCACTGGAAAAACAATATTTGATATATGCCTGCAAATCTTGTTGGTGGGCATGAGACCTAGCTTATAGGCTGTACTATTTAAGTCTATGCAATTAACTAGCAGTTATAACCTTTCATCTTGAATGTAATGAAAGACCATTATAGTTTACATAAGAAATTTACTTCTTTGATTTGTCAAATTTAGATATTAATATGCAAGCTCAGTGGCGGAGCCATGAATTTTGGTCAGGGAGGTCCAAAATAATTAATAATTAAACATGATAACATATGTGTTTCGCGTGAGCAATTAGTATCTAAACATAATTAAATAACTAAACTTTCAAAAGTGAATTTCAAATTTGAATTAATTGTTTACCCAGTGTTCTAAAAAACGGCCTGGGCGGCCGCTTAGGCGCCCGCCTAGGCGGAGGCGGTGGCTGAGCGGGCCGCCCTACAATTTCAAGCCCAAAATATTGAGTTGGGCGCTCCCAAAAACCCAAACCCAAAAAAAAATGCAAAACCCAATACCCAATACCCAAACTCAAAAGTAAAACCAACCCTAAATCTGTTTCACCCGACGCCACCAGCAAAAAAAAAATCGACGATCGTCTTCAACCTCTGCCAAAACCCAAGTGCGTCTTCAACCTCGTCCTGGGAGATAGACGATCGTCTTCGAGCTTAACTTCCGAGCTCGTCGTTCTCACCTCCGACGTCCTGGACTTCCGAGCTCATCTTCGAGCTCATCGTTCTCACCTCCAACCGTCGACGTCTATCTTAGATCTCTGCCAAAACCCAAGCACGTCTTCAACCTCGTCCTGGACTTCCGACCGAGCTCGTCTTCAACCTCGTCCTGGGAGATCGACGATCGTCTTCGAGCTTAACTTCCGAGCTCGTCGTTCTCACCTCCGACGTCCTGCACTTCTGAGCTCATCGTTCTCACCTCCGACGTCTATCTCTTCACAGTAAGTCAGGTCTCCCTTAAGGGCTCGTCGTTTTCAGCTCCTTTTTGTTGCCTGTAAAGATAAAGAAGCAATTACCCTCTGTATTTACTTAATAACTAGGTTCTAAATAATTACTGTAAAGATAAAGAAGCAATTACCCTCTGTATTTACTTAATAACTAGGTTCTAAATAATTACTGCTAACCTATCTTCTTCTCTTTTTTCCTTTTTTTTGTATTTACTTAATAACTAGGTTCTAAATAATTACTGCTAACCTATCTTCTTCTCTTTTTTCCTTTTTTTTAAGTTTGGTTTAGTTTTGTTCTTTGTTTTTTCTTTTTTCTCCTTTTTTTGGTTGGCAGTTATGCTATCTGATTAGTTCTACAGTCTACTGCATTAATGCAATATCGTTTTATTTAATCCCATCAGCAAATCTTACAAATCTAGGGATTTTGAGCTCCACCCCATTTGTCTTGTGCCCACTGGAAATGGTTCCCAATATTGCTCTTAATTTCTAGTGCATGTTTTGGTCCCTCAATTAGCTCACAAATTGAACTCTTGAAGCAAGAGGGAGAGAGAACATGAAAAAACCCCACTTGAGGAAGTAGGGGTTAAAACCTTTTTGTTTGGGTTCGGTTGTGCTCTTATTGGATTTGCAACTGTACATGCAATAATTGTTCAATGCCCCCTACTGTACAACTGTACATGCAATAATTGTGTATCTGTATTGAGTTTGAGTGCTGAAACTATAATATTCATGCTCCCAACATTTGGATTTGCAGCAATAACGAATGAAGTTGCAGTTTTTGACCTACAAAATAGAACAATAAGTCAATAATTAGTTGCAGTTTTTGAAGTTGCAGCAATAACGAATGAAATTGCAGTTTTTGATTGACTATTATAGTTTGGAATGATAGCATATGTGTTGGTATTTTTGTATTTATGCAATGTTGATTGAGTATATATATACATATATCTTCAAGTATCACAATTAAAAAAAGAAAAAGAAAAAAACCGCCCAGAAACCGTTTAGGCGCCCGCCTAGGCGTCTAAGCGCTGGGCGCCAAGTCCGGCGCCTAGGAGCGCCCAGCGTTTAATGTAACATTGTGTTTACCATAACATTCTTTTTGTCTTAATTTCTTGAAATCATTTCATTCTTAATAATTTTCATTGTTGAAAATACTCTTTCAATGGTACTCACCGTTGCAATGAGCAAGATCAATGCCAACTTCACTAACTTGTAGATCAAAATTCAAAGGACATAAAATATTCATGTTCCATACAAACCAACTTCTTAGCAAATTTATTGAACCCTTGAATTTCAGAAAAATGATGATGTACAGCTCCATAAGAGATGTACTTCTCACTTCTGAAGTTGACCGCTAAGCTCCTTATGATCTATTTTAGAAAAAAATTTAGGATCTTTTTTAGAAAAAAATTTAGGATAAATTTTGTCGATCGGATCAATTTTTCCTTATCAATCAAGAGAAGGATATACTTGGTTCAAGATATGCCTCAAGTAAGCATTATGACTATAAAAAACAGTTGTTCAAATCTTAAAATAATATATGTATAAACACATTTTAATTTTATAATGATGAAGTTTTGTGTTGTTATAACCCTCTAAATCAAAATGTGCACTCGTATTGTTTTGCCTTTGTATTACTGTTGCACTCAATTGAATTGTAGTCATATCCACATCTAAAAAAAAATAGGAAATTTTTTCCAAACTTAAGCCTTTATCCTAAGGCCTAGACAACCTTTACCCCCACGTGGACCTTGCTACTTCTCTCATCCACTAAAAGACAAAACCTATCTAATATTTTCCCAAAACAACAAACACAAAGGCAAGATAATGTTCATCTTCCTCTTCTCCTTTTCGTTTCAACAAGAAACACCGAGTAACATTTTAAATTTTTTTTCCAAATTAAATTCAGAGCAATTCAATATTTTTTGTTTTGTTCTGCAACATTTAGGGATAAATATTCTTACATTTTACTCTCTATAATTTTATTTTTACATGAAGTACCCCTATTTCTACTTTATATTTTAATTTTTGTTTTCACGGGAGGGCCATGACGCTATTGGCCTCCACGTAGTTCCCCCCTCTATGCAAGCTGTAAATGCTTGAGCTCACTATATGTAATTTGATTACTTTATAAATCTAAATAACAATGTAGAATGTATTTTCTTCCTTGTCAATTGTAGTAAAATATGATGAGCATATTATTTTTTATCTTTTCTGTTTGGTCCAAAATTTTGTTTTTAGTTGCTCTATAAGCTTCTGCATGGTTGTGCTATATAGTATTACTATTTGTTCCACAAGTTTCTACAATGTAGAATGCGCTTTTTTTCTTGTCAATTCTAGTAAAATGTGATGAACTTGTTATTTTTAACCTTTTCTATTTGGTCCAAAATTTTTGTTTTTAGTTGCTGTACAAGTTTTTGCATAATTTGATAAAATTATTTTTGATGTTTTTTTTGCACGTGTACATTATGAAGGCCTTAAATTATTTATAATATTTTCTTAGTTAAGTTAGCTTTATGTCAACTGAGAACGACATCCAATCTAGTGCATGAACTTAAACATTTATGCTACTAGCAACCAATACTTGTTCAAGTATCTTTTATGAGTTGTATGTTGGACTATGACTTGTTCTTTATATTTCAAATAATTATGTTTAATAAAGTTTCATATTGTTCTTTATATTTCAAATAATTATGTTTAATAAAGTTACATATGTTAGTAGACAATTATATAATACCTTCAAAATTTTGGTTAATAAAGTTTCATATGTTAGTAGACGAGTATATAGTACCTTCAGATTTTTAACAAGGCCATATTTTGCATCACATATTAAGCTATTTTTATTGATCTCTTATGGCTTTCCCTGTTTGAAATTGTTCTTCATTCTAAAAAATGTATATGGGATGTGGCGTAGTAATTGGAGATTTCTTGTGGATAGACAATATTTTTTTATCTGTTTGATTATTGAAAACATTTATTTACAAGATGCTTAGTGAAATGTCTCTAAAAATGTCTCATCCTAACCTGTGAGTAATTTAGATCCTAAGACCATGATGAACAATGGATCATCAATTGCATTATTTACGATATTTCTCTAAACCTCCAACTTGTGTAAGATCCATAAGACGCCCCTTTTTTTATTTCTTGTAATAGGGAATGGAATAGAAACCAACACAGAAGAAATTTACTAATAAGATACAAACTAAATTGGTCTTCTTGAATAACAAATACCATTCAGCTTGATCTGTTATGCCTTCAAAACATTCATGTGATTTTGATAATTATTAATACAAGATAGAATCTTAGACAAGAATCAACAAGTGTCATTATTCGTTTGTATTAAAAATACATTCATTTCAGGAGTTTATTCAAAGATGAGAAGCGTTTGATTGATATAATTTCTAAGTTCTAGGTATTTTAGGATATAAAGGTCAAGATAAGCGATATACATTTCTTTAGGCGATAGTGCAGCATGCAGTTGCAATTTGCAGTTTGAGTGGTTCCATAGGTGTTGCTTCATATACCTTTTCTATATAAGAAAATTGGATATAACATTATCAAGATAAGAAAATTAGCTTAGAATCATAGAACAACTATCTTAGGATGATAAACATCTTTATCTTAATTTTTTAGCTCAAACTGCTTACATACGAGAAATCATATGCTTGAATTTCCTCATAAGAATATATAGTATACAGACATGGTAATAATTGATCCATGAATACAACATGTTTTGAAATTTAAGATTACAAATATGCTTTGGATGCTGAGTGATATATGTTTGTACCTATTTGTGCCCAAGTGTTATTGGTCATTGGTTGTAGTAATTATGTTTTGAACAGTTTGTGTAACAGAAAATATCTCGAATATCGTTAAATATTTTAAGTTATATAAATGTCTATTTGCATTTTTAACACCTTCAAGTTTCACCATTTTAACTTAGATACCTTAAAATCTATGTTACTCGATACTTCTATCATGAAGTCGTACCCGACACGTACCTGACATGTACCCGTACCGAAACTTAACGAATACTTCTTTGATTTATGCATTCATTTATTCAGAATTTCTGATATAAATTATATGATATATGTTTTAATTTAAAACTCTTATCAATCACTTCTTGGACATATATCTTACGCTTCACATCTATTTTTTAAAACTCGTTAGACATGGGTCGGATTCGTTTCTGCCCATGCGCAAGTTCAAAACTATTATTGATATGGTTGTTTGGGTGTCTAGTTCAAAAACGAACAATTTCCAAGAATGGATAATAATCAACGTAATAAAAAAATTAAAAAAATTATAGGAATTTTAATTCTACACAGAAAATGAAAAACAATAATGATCTCATACAAATTATTATTCAATATATATGTAGTTGTGTCCCTGTACCCTACACTTTACAAATTTACCGAGTCCTCTACCCACACCCATATTGGTACCCGTACCTTTTTCCATGCAATGTAGCTCTATTTTGACAATTTGATTGCCCAAAGTTTTCAAATTGATGTTACTTTAACAATTTGATACCCCAAAGAAACTGAAAAGACTGGACGTTGGTGAGAAAAGTTGTTTCTCATTCATTTTTCTATGTTAATTCTTGAACAAAATTAATGTCTAATTGTTTTCATATTGAGGGTATTAAATTGTCAAAATAGAACTTTAGGATGTTAAAATGAAAAGTTTAAAGTGCAAAAAACCCTTATAAAAATAAATAATTATACGAACTATCATTTTCCATGTGCATAATTTCTTGTAACTTCAAATGAATCCACTTTACAAAGACAATATGCAAACACAAAGCATACTGTAATCCTATCCAAGTTGAGACATTGACATTACATGGGTTTGCAAATTCTAATAGGAGACTAAAGGCTCAATTTTCAATTGAGATATCAAGTCCTTATAAACAATGCTACAAACATAAAGAACAATAATGCTTAGAAATAATTTTCTCCTTCACGCCTACAAGATTACAACTTGTCTGTTATAGATCTGCTATAACCCATTAACCTTAAGCATCAAATTAAAGGAACTTTTTGGATCTCATAGTTCATTCCTTTGATAATTACCTCTGTGTGACTACAAAACCATCTTTAACTTTGTTGAAGCACGGTAGAAGTTGATGAGTCACCCTTGTCCGTGGAAGATGATGAGGAAATGGCCTTCGACGAAAGTGTTGGCTAGGTGAATGAGCCCCTTTGTCAACCTCTTGCCTGCACAGTGGTACATCACGTTAGAGGTATCAGAGATAGGTTTCTCGTTGGCCCTTCGACATTCCTGTGAGAATCTCTCTTTATGGAGTAATAAAACAGTAAAAGAGGTGGTAAACCCTTGGTTAGGTTAGAGAATGTTACCATCAGAAATCTTACTTATAGGATTTTGTGCCAGCTTATGAGGAGTACACAATGTTAGCATCTTTTCATCGAGGTAAGTATACATGTCTACTCCTTATTGGCTCCAGTAGTTACCTTGTAGTTGTCTCTCCTAGATTTCTGAAAAGGATACGGCGGTGGGCTGAGAGACACGCGACCTAGGGAATCTGATCAAACTCTAATAGATGGTGATGGTGAATTAACTGAGCATCGTTAGGGTTGACCGAGCTCTAGTCATCATAGCTAAGTTGTTCTTCCCTGAACTGTTCTATCTCTGTCTGAGCTTCATCAGGGAAGTACAAAAAATTAAGTCCTCTACTTCATTTCTGCAACTTTAATAGGTTAGAACTTTATGTTCAATCATAGAACTCTTCCAGCTATCATATTCTCTTTGTATAAAGCTCTGAACTGATAATTGTCATGGCCTTATTATTGCGTGTTTGTGGTGTCATTGCTTTGTCCTTTTACTTAGTTAATTGTTTCTTCTTGATTGTTTTTTGTTACTTGCAATATATCATCCTTAATTACTTACTAGAAACATCAATGGCATGAGAGACACAACATTGAGATCTTTAAAATATGAATCAAAGTTGCTTTCTTTAGATCTCTCACATATTAATCTAATGGTTTCATTTTGATCTTTGACTTGTGAATCAAATGGTTTTATTTGTGTGGTTACTAAAAATGTGATTCGTAGTCATAGTTCTCTCAATTGTTTGGTATCTTATCTGTTGACGTTAGAGATCATGGTGCAGACTGTCTAACTACATTCTACCAGGTTATGATTCTATTGGTTTGTTCATATTTATTTCCTTATAAAGGGGTTACAAGATGGACCCTAAAGGCTGTTTTCCTGGGGAGCATTTGAAATCACAGAGCCATCTAATACATTATGTGTGGCACTCATTTGAATCTGTCCTAAACTGGTTATGGGATGAGAGATGATAACATTTTGAATTGCTCGTGAATGATCCAAGCATCTCCTATCATTTATAACGTAGATAATGCATAGCATGGATTATTAGAAGTATGGCTTGCTATTGTGATTATAAGACCACACCGGACGTAGTTCTGATGTCACTTCACAATTCATTTTCTATATATCTTATGATGCAACATCTATGGTGGCAATTTATTACTTGAATTATTTTGCCTGTAGCCCTAAAAAAATTATATTATTCTGCAAATATATTCCGATAACTCATGAATAGTAGACCACAACATTGTTGATTAGACAAGAAATCTCTTGAGTCCACTCAACAATCATTCCAAAAGGCTAGGTATTGTAATGGTGAAAGATATCAATGATAAGATGTGTAATTGATTATTATTGAAGCTTCTTTTTGTTGGTTAACTAAATCCTTCCAATTGTGAATTCTTTGGGACCATAGATCAATTGTGCCAACACTATTTACAGCTGTATATTTACGTCTAAATTGTTGGATGTTTCTGTTGTAATCACGCACCTACTATTTCTATGATGTGAAAAATGTAGAGTATTTTTATTCAATAAAAGGATTTATTCTCTGATGTTTTTTCATATACTAGAACTGGAAGGTGGCCTTAGGGAGAATTGATATATAGGCTCTTAAGATGGCTCCCTAAGAATTAGTTTAATTGGTGTAGCATCTCACATGCTTAAATTGTGAAGAAGGCAACAAATTAGATCTCACCGATTAAGAGTTCTCTTTGGAGCATGTTTGGACCTTCAAGTTAGCCCTTAGGCTTGGTTTGGATGGGGGTATAAGGAGGAAAGGTAAGATAAGATAAGGTTCAATGAGGTGCAAGGAGGGATATACATTTTGTAGTACATATTTGGTTGGAGAGGAGTGAGGAGAGGTGCGTGACTTTTTAGTTTATTTCACATCTTATCTCTCCTCACTCTTGTGTCCCTTCCAAGTGGAGGGATTTTATTTCTCTTCACTTTCTAGTTCATTTGCATATTCTCTCCTCACCTCACATTACTCTACTGCACCTTACCCTTTAAAAACTCCCTACCAAAGAGAATTTTTAATTGTGTCCCTTACCTCACCCTACCTCGTCTCCTACCAAACGAAGCCTAAAGGACTTACAGTAGAACGGTGTACGTTATTAAGTGCTTGAACGAAAATTAAGTTCATGGGCAACTACTATAACATTAAGTTAACGTCTAGGAAGTTCTTTCCAAAACCCTTAATTAAATAGTCAGCCGATGGAGCATTCCAAACCAATCCTCCACAATTCTATATAAGAAAAATATACGGCTATATTTGATCACTCAGTACTATGCCCAAAAAAAGAGGGTTGAAAGAAATAACCTTATTTAAGAATAAGGTGTAGCGTTGCCCCTTTTACCCTTGCAAGTCATAAAAACATTATCTCTTGCACTATCATCACTGTCTTTGAACCATGTGCATGAAATTTTTTGTGACTGAAGATATTCAATCTAGTAATAAACAAATATCAGATTTTTTCAAATTTCAAGTGAGTTAAAAACTTTCTGTTTTCCTACTGCATTCATAGTCTTTAGAACAATGATAATAATAATAATTTTTTTTTTCTGTTTGAACTTCCATCTTGAGTGATTTCTTAACTTGAATGTATCACGGTCTAAAGGTACTCGTGGCTATGCAAGCTGGATTGACTGTTATTGGTAACATGACGATGTGCTTTGCTGCGTTTCGAATCTTTAAAGCATCTCAGGAAGGCTCGACAAAATCCTAAGTATTCTCAAGGTTCTGTTATATATTTTACTACTGAGGAGCAAGGAAGACCAAGTGAGAGATATTGTTTTCCTACTTTCTGGTTGGTGGATTATCATTATTTCTTTCTGTACCTTCAACCATAACTGAAAGAAATATATATAGAAAGACTAATTGTCTGGTGAACCTGACACCTTATTGAAAACTAACCAGAAGTAAGTGGAGATTGAGGGGACTTATTATTCCCATACATTGGTCCGCTCGATAACCATCATCCTTTTGTTTTAATTTCACCCTTCCTCGTTCAAAAGTTGATTACGAATATTATTTTATGCAAGTATGTTGTTTATTACAAGTTCAAGCTTCTTTTTGTTTACTTTCCTTACATGTAACCAGAGAGATTTTAGAGCTAAGTTGTTAGAAGTAAATTTCTGATTTACATGTTTCAGAACTTTGCTGGTAGCAATGTCAGCAAACTTGAACTGAAAAGTGGGTAAATATGGCAGAGAAAGTACAATCTTAAATATTCATCTCAAATTGTCGACTAGTTCGTTATACTTTCAAAAGTATCTTTTTTTTTTTTTTTGAATATCAGTATTTGCACATTTCAGGTAGTAGACTTAATATATTTTCTGGTGGCACCCGTTAACAAGGGAGCGCATATGGAGGGCCATAGCTCCCTAACATAATTCAGCCCATTCAATTTATAACTTAATGTGTAAGTTTGGAAATGAATACACTTCCCTACTGGGCTCTGCTAAATGGCAAAGATGAGTTAATGCGACTTTCAAGAACAACATAAAAAAAAAAATATCACGACTTCCAGTGGACGTACCGCTTGAGTTAGGCGTTATTTTGATTTAAATTCATCCATTTCTTCACCTGACTTCTGCTAAAGAGTTGCGGTCTAGAGCTACAGCTTGAATTAGGGAAAACTCCTTTTGTTGACTACATCTTACTATGACGTTTTCCCCACCTCTCTTTATGAAAAATTGTTGATATAGAAAACAATCTCAGTTATCTCCATGAGCCATGAATGTTCTGTAAAATCTTAGCGGGAGGTGGCTGCGATTTAGTACTTTTCAACACCAATTTTAAGTTAGGACTTGGGACTTATGCAAGAGTATTGTGATTGGATCAAGTACCCAAGAATACATGGATTAAAGTTTGGAAGGGTTCAGACCTGAACGGTTGAAGAGCAAAAAGCGAAAAACGGAACAAAACGGTAAGGCACTGCTTAGACTCGGCTTTTTGGGGCTTAAAGCAGTTCAAAGTGTAAGAAAAGGCCAAGGAAAAAAGCGGTCTAAATCTTATTAAATTTTTAAATATGGATAAAATTTTTAAATTTTTAAATATGAATCGCCTTTAACCAGGGTTCAAACAACAATCAACCACCTTGACCTTTTTTTTGGAAATTTTGATTGAAATTCCTAAAATGCCCTTAAAAACACACCGGGAAATTGCTTAACAAGACTTGTGTGGTGGCACATGTGTTTTCGAGAATATTTTGGATGTTTCATCAAAATGATAAAAAATAGATCAAGGTTGTTGATTGCTACCGGAACCCCCTTCAAAGGAGGTTTCTACACAAATTGAACTTTAAAGGTGTTTTTCGCATTCTTACCATATTTTAAAGGCGGTTTCTGTGAAAAGCCCCTAATAAATTACGGAATTTGTCAACAAGTTCCCTAGAGGCACTTACTAATGAGGGGAGAGAGAAAGAGAAATGAGCGTCAGTGCACCCTAAATTCTCCACGATCTCTCTTCTCTCATACCTCTTTATATTTCTCTCTTCACTAACCATTGCCCCAGAGGCACACATTAAGAAAAGCCATAAATTAAAGATAAGAATGTATTTTATACACGACTGAATATGTTATTTCACTTGTTATATTCAAAGTTGCACTTTGCACATAAATCATAATTTTGCCGTTATTAAGAAGATTCAAAAGCTTGCTCTGCTTGATTTTTCTCCGTTACCTTGATTAAGAATTATGTCAAAAGATTTTTTTCTCTTTTCTTCTACATCCCTTTCTCTTCATTAGATATATCTAGGATTTGTATTCCTTAGGTGCATGAATCATGTGGCTAGGTATTCTCCTGTTTATGGCCTTTTATCTGAAATTAACTAAATGTGTCCAAGTTTATTTCACGATCCAAAATGGTACGCATTGTTAGTCTAAAGTGTAGACCCGAAGTCGAAGCCAAAGCTGGAATCAAGAAGACGAAAAAAAATCGAGAAAACAGGAGGAGGCCTGCACGGTCGACCGCGGCGATCGACCGCGAACGTGCACAGAGCTGGGTAGAGCCCGGAGCTGAAGGCGGTCGACCGCAAAACCCCTTGTAATGGATTTTGGTCTCGAGTTTTGGTTCGGTCGACCGCCGCGGTCGACCGTTGATACCCTGTAGGATTTTTTAGGCTCTGTCGTTTGATACGGTCGACCGTCGCGGTCGACCGCGACACAGTCAGCCAGTTTCCTTATCTGTTTTGGATTATGTTTCTTCCAGGACTCTATATATACTTAAACGTTTTTAGGGCTTGATAGAACACGAAAAAGAGAGCTTTTTGACTGTAGAAAAGAGAGAGAATCTCAAAAAGATAAAACCCTAGTTTGAGAGCTTGTATTTCTTCTTCAATTAATAAAAAAATTGTGTGGTGTGACTCTCGAGGACGTATGCACGTTTGCCGAACCTCGTTAAATCTGGTGTTTTCATCTCCTTTACTATTTTACAAGTTTTGATCTAATTTTTGGTGAATTTCCTACTTTCATACTTTCAACACAAGGTCCGGAAGGGCAATGGTTCGATTGATTGTTTCGAATCCCCAACAACTGGTATCAAACGCGACCCTCAGGGGCGCGTTCAACCAAAACTTGACCTTCAGAGGTCAGGTTCATCATTTAAACGCATGCCTCGGCCTGGTGTTTACAACTTTTAACGCGACCCTCGCGTTACTTCTCAAGAACGCGATCTTCAAGAGGTCCGTCAGGTTCAAAAAAGTCAGCGGATTGTTTCGAATCCCCAACAACTGGTATCAGAGCTTCGTTCAGCAATTTGTGTGAAAGCCATGACAGATAAAAAAAAAATCAAAGATCGAGAAGTTTGATGGTTCAGACTTCGCCTACTGGAAGTCGCAGATGGAGGACTATCTGGGTCCGTCAGGTTCAAAAAAGTCAGCGTGGCTTTAAAATTCACGTTCGACAAGAACCAATCTCACCTACCAAGGGGCAGGGGGTTCCAACTCCACCTCCAAGTCCGGGGAAAGTTTCCTCCCAAGTTCCTGATCTGCGGGAATTATTGTCAAGAGGAAAATCAACAGTGCAAGCAGCTCACTCATGTCAATGTGAGAGGCTCATCTCTGCAGTCCTGTCAGAATGCCCTTGTTGTGCATCCACACCTCGGCAGTCCGTATTTGACAGGTTGACACACGTCGTTAGGCCTGCCAAACGACAACGCCGCAACAAAAAGAAGACAGTTGAAGCGGAATACCCTTAGGTCACTATCAACATGATCGGTCGAGGGAAAGCCTTGCCTACTGATTCCGATGAGTCACAAGAGAGTCATCACTCGACTGTCAGAGAAATTTACTTCGCCTACTGGAAGTCGCAGATGGAGGACTATCTGTACCAGAAGGACTTGTATCACCCGTTGATGGGCAAGGAGAATGAACAAAAGAAAGAGGAGTCAAATGGTGATTGGGAGATACTGGATAGGAAGGCTCTAGAGAAAATCCGGTTGTCGCTCGTCAAATCAGTAGCCCACAACATATTAAAGGAGAAGACGACTGTGAGGCTTATGGAAGCGCTCACGAAGATGTACGAGCAACCGTCGGTAGCCAACAAGGTACATCTCGTCAAAACTCTTTTCAACCTCAAGATGACAGAATGATAGTCCTTCACGATGCACCTCAGCGAGTTCAACATGATTGTTGATCAGCTTATCTCTATAGACATCATGTTTGATGATGAAGTACATGCCCTATTGTTACTATCACAGTTACCGGATAGTTGGGCAGGTTATGTGATGGCAATCAGCAATTCGGCGGGGAAGGAAAAGTTGAAGCTGAGTGAGATGGTTAGCATGATTCTATCCGAGGAGGTTAGAAGGAAATCATTCGAATCAGAAGGTTCAGGTTCAGCTCTAAGTTTCGAGCAGAGAGGCAGAAGCCAGAAGAAAGGAAATCAGAACAAGAATCGGTCGAAATCAGTAAAGAAGAGGTCGAACTCGAAGGTTAGGCCTATCAAAGGGAAGTGTTGGAACTGCGGCCAGGAGGACCATATGTCTTCAGTCTGCAAGAGTCCAAAGAAGGATGCGGGTGAGCAGCATGTTCATATCGTGCAGGAAGCCTTGATTCTTGCTATGGACAACGACTCGGATTCTTGGGTCATCGACTCAGGAGCCTCTTTTCACGTCACTACTAACAGGAAGCTTCTTCAGAATTATGTAGCAAGGGACTTTGGAAAAGTATATTTGGGGAATAATGAGCCATGTAATATTGTTGGAAAGGGCAAAGTGCAGATTCATATGAAAGGGTGAAGTGCAGATTCAGATGAAGGGCTCTAAGTGGACCTTGCAGAACGTGAGACACGTGCCGAAGCTGAAGAGGAATCTTGTTTCGGTGGAACAGCTTAGAGCAGAAGACTATGTTTCGACATTCACAGGGGATTCGTGGAGAATCTCTAACGGTACGATAATAGTTGCTCGAGGCAACAAACTCGGGATTCTCTACCTCACCTTACATGCGAGTGACACCCTCGCATTGCAGCTGACAAAGAGAGTACAGATCTGTGGCACAACAGGCTAGGGCACATGAGCGAGAAGGGGATAAAGATCTTACATTCACAGGAAAAACTGACCGGGATTGATTCTGTGGAAGTCGGGGTTTGTGAAGACTGCATCTTTGGAAAGCAGAAGAGGGTTAGTTTCCAGAAGGGTGGAAGGCCACCTAAGGCTCATAAGCTAGAGTTGATTCATACAGATGTATAAGGTCCAGCTAGTGTGTCTTCTTTTGGCGGTTCGAGATATTATGTCACCTTCATCGACGATCACTCGAGGAAGGTGTGGGTCTACTTCATGAAGTACAAGTCAGAGGTATTCGAAGTCTTCAAGAAGTGGAAGGTCATGGTTGAGAACGAGACAGATCTGAAGGTGAAGTGTCTGAGATCAGACAATGGTGGAAAATATGAACTAGAGAAGTTCAAGAGGTTATGTGCTACGGATGAGATTCGATTAGAGAGGACTACTCCAGGGACGCCGTAGCAGAACGATATTGCAGAGAGGATGAATAGAACCTTGACAGAGCGTGCCAAGAGCATGCGATTACATGCAGTTCTGCCTAAGATATTTTGGACGGAT